AATCGTACTGTGGTCAATCGTACCGTGTCTAATCGTACGTGTCCAATATTACGTGTGCAATCGTACTGTGTCCAATTGTACCGTGGTCAAATGGACGTCACCCGGGTGAAAGCATCTGTCTCACTCCGAAGTTTGACTCACTTCCCCTCTCACACGCGCAGTCTATTTCTTATACGTCTATGGGAATCGTGCACATAGCACGGAATAGAACCATGTCCACGTTTGGACATAGCGTACGTATCGACAAGTCGCTCGTGGACATCGCTACGTAGTTGCCAATGTGCACCACCCATGGACATGGGCTAGCTTACGGGCCGGAATAGCGATCGTAAAAACTCTTATGGGCCTGGCCGCTCTCAGGCTTCTCTCTGGTTCTACTTGTCACTCCATGGATATCAACTTTTTTCCGTTTATTTTTCTATGGAATGCTATTCTTGTAGACTGTTTTCTGCTGTGCTTTTAAATTATATTCGGAACAGTATGTAATCACGGAAAGTATGTGATACATATTTTTTAAATTATTTTATTATTTGTTATAAAAATGTAATAATAAGTATTGACATAACTATTCTCTCGTGTTTTAATTGATCTCGTGTCACTTGATGTCCTTAAAATATTAATCTTCTACAATTCTGCAATATATTTATATTTTAGTATGCAATTAAAAGATATCAATTTTACTAATGATTAAATAATAATTTTATTACCTAATTATTGAAGCAGATGGTTTTACATGCAAACATTGCAATGCATATATTGCAATATTAGACACAGCACCCTTACATGAATGTTTTACAAACAAAAATATATATATGGATAGTAACAGTTTTATTTACAAACGACAATGTGGATCCCAGCAAACATGACGTGTCAGCACGCCGTGAGAGCATGCCATGTGAAAAATATGTTGGTACAGTGCTGTTCAGTGATGTCACGCGTTGGTATGCTAGCAAACTGATATTACGGCATGCTGAAAATGATGTGGTTAAATCACGACAGATTCGCTACTTTTCAATTTGACGCGCATTCCGCTTGCACAAAGCTCGTATAGAGTGTTGAGCGTAAAGCCTGCTCTACATTGATCGCAAGCGCAAACGCAAGGAACAGGTCTGGTAGAATTGACTAATCGTATTGATCAAATCAGCCAATTAACCAGCGTGATTGGTCAATTCTACGAGACCTATACCTTGCGTTTGCGCTTGCGATCAATGTAGAACGGGCTTAACGTGTCGTCGCGATGCTTGCCAGATAAACTTGAATCTGACAGTCATCACGCCATGAAAGCATGCTTGTATAATGTCGGCACGTTGCCACTATTTTGTTTGCTGGGTAGTTTTTACAAAAACTTAGAATACGCAATGTCGGTAAAACAGATATAGCATCTTCTTAAATGTCAAAACTTAAAAACTAAGATTGTTACTATTAAAAATAGAATTATTACGCAAGCTCATTAAAAAGATAAAAATACATAAAAATCTGAAAACTATATTACATCCTTGTCATAAAAATGAACAAATAATGACGCACTATAACTTGTTAACGAAAATTAAACGAGAGGATAGCTGGCACTGCTTGCTATACCGCAGTGATTATTCTTGTTCCTGGCCATCTTAATATAACCTTTTTCACCCCACGTTTCACCCCAGCTGTTCTTCACTAACCAATAATCTTCACTGGTTTCTGAATCTGTACCATAACCGATGACTAATACACCATGATCCAAGTTTTCAGAATCACAATCGGGTTCATAGTATATTCCTAAAAATAATAAAGTGATATAAAAGAAAACAAAAGTAAACTAATTTTGATATAAGTGTAAATTAAAGTTAAAACTTATAAAATTTGTTAGAGTGAAATTAAATTTATGGATAAAATTTCTTTATATAAATTTAAAATCAGATATGATCAGATTTTATAATCAGATATTTTATGATAAATAGATATAAAACTAGTGTTATAGGTATTAGTCCTATACTAATAAATTTGTCTACTTATGATTGATATTGTTTACTATTAATTATGCTTACACAATTTTTCAATTAGAAATACCGCCTACCTTCACTATAAAGATGGAAAGATTCATGAGAAGCATCAATAGCAACTGAGACTGGACCTACAGTAGCGACAGCAGCTTTAAGTTTCTCTTCATTTCCTTCTGGAATATCAACATAACCAGCATCAGTAGCTCCGTTGTTTCTAGGATTATATCTGTAATTTTAAAATAATTTTAAAGTAATTAGGATTTATATTTTTATCATGTGTAGAATAAAATTAAAATGAACATAAAACACATACCTGCATTTATCGTTTTCTGCTTCGTATGGGTAGCTCTTTTCAGTATCAAGGCCTCTGTTTTCCTTGATATATTCGAAGGCATTATCCATTAAACCACCATTGCATCCATTGTTGCCAAATTTACCAGAACAATCAACCAAGTTTTGTTCGCTTAATGATACTAATATATCTGTCTTTCTGAAATGTTGTCCTTCTAAAGCTCCAGTCTATAGCAAAACAAAAACCTAATATCAATTTTGTAATAATAACAAACTTATTTAAGCTTCCACAAAATTTTATAACATGTTAAGACGTAGAGTTTAGAAAAATTTGTTTGTTTTAAAATAACATTTATAAAAATAGATTAAGATGTTAAAATTCAGAGGTAATGGCTTCAACTGACTTGTTTACAGCAAAGCATAGAATTCCCATGTTCCATTGTAAACAAATCAATCAAAACCAGTATGTACATTCAAATAAATAATAGCATTGAAGAAAAACACATAAAAGAAATTAGGACTACCGAAGAGAATGCCCAACAAGAACCACAATGTCCTTGATCTTTTACTTCAGTAACAGCACCATGTTTCCTCCAATCAACTTCTTGTGGTAACTCAACATTAGCTGGCATGATAAAAGTTGGACCTATAAACTGCTGCTTTAGAGTACTAACAGACTTATTAAAGCCATTCAAAATACTAACAAATTCATGACGTAACTAGAAGAAAAATATGTGTCATAAAAAAATTGCTCAATTTGTAATTAATCAAATAACTTATATGTTAGAACTTACCATATCCCCATACTTGTTCATTCCTAACTTATAGGAAACTTCATTCATCTCATATTTGCGATTATGTTCAGCAATTTTGCGCTTATTATCCAAGAAAATCTTCATTCTGTAACCTTCTTCAATAGGGGATGTATATACTTTTTTATGATGCATCTAAAATAATATCAAGTAAAATAATCAATATATTAGTTCTTAAAATAGTAATTTGTTCTTTCTGTGGATATTATATATCAATATAACATATTACTTAAATGCTTATATATTTTAAATAATATTAGTAATTAAATCTTCTATAAATATATAATTTTGCTTTCAGTATTACTAATTGACTACAAAAGAAAGCATTTTTGCACACCATACTGTAAATTTCATACTAGAATAAAAATAATCATTTGACCTTAAAAATAAACCATTCTGCATCCAAAATCTTGTTGAATGAGATAGTTTGTCCTGTAGCAAATATTGCCACCAACAGTAGAACAATCAAACTTCTCATGATTAGATCTTATAATCTGTAAATATATAATTTTAAAATTAATTTACACTTTAGATAAGAACTATAAAGACAAAAAATTGTTTACATAAACAAAAACTACTTGACTTTTATGGTTGTAGTTTTAATGTTTATTTTTGTCAGTGACATATGTGTGAAGAAAAAATAGATATTAATCTTGTAACAGTGACTAGATTATATATAAGCTATTTTGCATCTTAATTTTACAACAATGCTTGCTATAATTTGGTAAACAAAGCCTGTATCCAAATGCTCAACTGCTAGATTCTTCCTAAACATTTTAACTCAATTCTTCCACTTTTTTTGTAGTTCTCAATGCTCTATTTCTCTCACTCTAATATCAGTTGCTAGAAGAGTAAAGAAACTCTAAATTGAGTGCTCAGACACAGACTTCATTTAGGCTGCTTTCCTTTTAGGAGACACAGTCGACACAAGAAGTCATTCTGTCTTTGTTTCTCACTGAATGCTAAACGAAGACAGAATGACTTTTGTGTCGACTGTCTCCTAAAAGGAAAGCAGCCTTAATATAGCAAATACTAGTTTAAAAATAACATAATCTAGAAACAAAATTATTAAGTTAGATATACAGGGCTGCGAGAACAGCACTCGTGTGCACACGAACGTAATTCTATCTTTATCACTCATTAGATATAAAACAGATAGAATGGCGCTCGTGTGACACAAGTAATGTTCTCGAACGCAGCCCAGACATTTACAGCCAATTTTTTCACTTCTAGATAAGTTTTCAATAACTTTATCTAGAAGATATCTCCCAAAATTGGTTCTCCTTATTGGTTCTCAGAGAAATTTATCCAGAGGATAGCTATCGAGAGGTATGAAGAAATCGGCCGTTAGGCTGCTTTCCTTTTAGGAGACACAGTCGACATAAGTCGACACAAGAGTCATTCTGTCTTTATCTCTCACTGAATACTGAACGAAGATAGAATGACTTTTGTGTTGACTGTCGGCCGATTTCTTCATACCTCTCGATAGCTATCCTCTGGATAAATTCTTCTGAGAACCAATAAGGAGAACTAATTTTGGGGAATATCTTCTAGATAAAGTTATCGAAAACTTATCTAGAAGTGAAAAAATTGGCTGTGTCTCCTAAAAGGAAAGCAGCCAAATATGGGTGCTTTCAAGCTACGTACACAAGCGACACAGTGCCCACTAGTGTGAGTGAGACACACTGATACGCTCTTTCTCTCACTAATGGACACTGTGTTACACAGTGTCGTCTGTGTACAGAGAGGTGCACCATATCGTTCCGCTCCAAGAGAAGTTTTTCTCTGAAATTTTTCTTCTGGCTGCTTCTACTACCGCGCGCCGTACTCTTTCGATCTCCGCCAGCGGCCGAGATTGAAGGAAAACGACGCGCGATAGTAGGGACAGCCGGAAGAGAAATTTTCGAGAAATACTTCCCCTGGAGCGGAACGATATGGTGCACTCCTCTGTACGTAGCTGGAAAGCGCCTTATATCATTCAAAAGTATGCACATATGCATATATGTGTTTAAAAAGAACTTCGTATAATCCCAATTGACGAAATTCCATAGATTTTAACAATATACAATTTTGTTACACACACACACACACACACAAGGGAGAGCTACAGATTTTCTAGAGATTTTATATCCAATAAAAATTTGCAGACTAATAGTATAATAGTATAATAGCTTATCACAACTAAGCAAAACCTGCTGACAGACTTTAATACAAATTGATGAAACCAAACACAACTCGTTAACTGTATCCAGGAAGTACGATATTATTGGTTATGTTCAGAAAACTCAACGGCAGTGTTGTTGCGAAGTCGCGTTTTCGCGCATGCGCACTGCGCTGCTAGAAGAATGCAGTAATAGGTTTGTTTTACTTGCATACACGAAAAGTGTAAAGTGTACACCTTACACTTTTAATACACTACACTTTTTGGAAGTGGGGGAAACATCGTGTAAAGTGTATGCTTTTCAAAAAAAACGCCAGAGTGTAACAAAAGTGTACTACAGTGACGTCACGTTCGGAAACAGCACTCGTGTACACACGAGCGCCATTCTATCTTTGTTTTATATATAATGAGTAATAAAGATAAAATATACACTAGTGATGTTTCCGAACGCAGCTTGACTACGTTTACACCAGAGAGAAGCCTGAAAGCGGCCAT